ATATGACATCTGCAATACTGGCTTTATTAAACTTCTTCTCCTGCTAATGACTAACTTGGCTGATTACAATCTCCACAGTGCTTTTTCTTACATTGTAAGCGTGTTAATGATCAGTTCCATGGAATCAAATAGAAGTATATGTTTGGACACCCAAACATAAATACAGGCATACTTTCATTTGAAAATATTCAAATGCCTCATACACACTGACTCCACTGATGCTTTTTTGTGCATATAATGAAAGCCAATTATCTGTGGAGAAAACTTGACTGGGTGGAAGGAAATTAAATTGGTTTTTAAAGACTTCTTTAAACAGCAGTAGCTAGGGAAAGGTCCAATAGCATTTTAGTTCAGGATTGTAATGACTTTGCCATGTTAATAAATCATGCTCTCCTCTCACTCTTATCAAAAGATTTGGATGGGGAAGACTGCGCAAGACAGAGCAACTGGAGACAACGAGGGTCCCTGAGGTTCTGCCTGTATCTAAGCATTCTGCCAATCGCTGTGAAGCTCTGGGACAGCTGCTGGAGAAGCCAGGTAGGTCCTATGTCAGTCAAAGAACAAGGCATAGGTAATAGATAGCTAATAAAAAAAAAAAAACTTCCAAAATTGCAAGTCTTGAAGGAAATATTTATGTTCTAGAATATTCTGTGATTTTGTTTTTAAGGCTGTACAAAGTAAATGAAGTAAAAGCTTTATCAATCTTTTTTGCCTAATCCACTTGTGGGAGTTTTCCAACTTTTTTGACATGCTTTTGTGTCTCATATCCACTCTCATCAATCAGCTGCATGTTGGATTTTCTTTTCCATTGTGTTATAAGTCTGAGACTACTTAAGGTAGCATTTATAGAAACATGGGAAAACATATTGTTTCATTTATCCATAAACAATGCAAATACTTTCTCTTTGTTGCCATTCAAAATATTAACATTTTATTCTCTATAGGACTGTCCTCAGAGTTGGCTTCCAGGAGCTATTGGAGAATTAGAAAGGCAAAATACCATTACTTTGGAATATCTTATTCTTCACTAATTGAGGAGTACACTACTTCATTGAGCTTTCTAAACCCAAATAGTTACTTCAACTAAGATTAGAAAGTTGATCACGTAGGCTGTACAACATATATTACTATGTTACAGTGAGAAAGTAACTAAGGAAAATGTGTATTGTTTCCTCTTGTTAGAAATATTATAGGCATTGGATGGTGTGACCTGCTAATATTCTTCATGAAATTAATCATGGCTTTTCAGAACAACACTATCAGAAATATTACTTTCCCTTAGTTATGAATTAAATGAAAGACATAAGTAATTCTATATTCTGAATCTTAAGTACTGGGAAGTTTTAGTTTATATTTCATAGTATATTTTCTAATCAGCTAAATTGGATGCTTGGGTTATTTACAATTTCAATTTTGAATGTGATCATAGTAACACATTCCTCTCACATTCTGCAAAAATTTTAGCTTCTATGTCTGTCTTTTCCGACTCTCAAGAAACTAAAGTTCTGTGGAGGAGAGGTCCCCAGGGAATCTCTTCCTGACATTGCTTACTCAGACTCTAAAAAGGGCCTCAGAAGTTTTTCATAGTTTTGTAATTTTTTTTTGTCTGTTAGAAACACTTCAAAATGCTGCCATTAATTTCCATCATGCCATCAGAAATCTCGATTCCTCCTGAGCCTTCACGCTGAACCAGAATTTACTCTCTAATCTCAAATCAGCCAACGGAGATAAGACAGAGACTTTTAATTAGAATTTTAATATGTAATCTAAGCCATTTGTAGATTATACACAGAGGTGATCTTCTATGTATTTAATAACTATGTGGAGAACTTAGATGATGTGTAATTTGGTGGAGGGACTATTTTTAACTTTACTGAAGTTGGGTTACTTTCAATATTCCCCAAGAGTCCCTCAGAAGTTATAACAGCGTGAGATCCATTATGTGAATGAATAGCTGAATGTGTCAGTAGTATGTCCTGGGGGAAAATTATAAAAATTGGTATATTCTGTAAAATAAAGAAGACATTCTGCTTTCCTTACACATCCTCTGGGAAACCTAATTTCAGGTCTCTCAGGTCAGCTATGTGGACAAAAAGATAAATATTCAACAGAGTGTCAGGGGAATGAGCTACCACCTGCTACTGTGAGTGAGTGATATCCCTAACACTTCTATGTCAATGCCTAAAAAACCCAGCACCTGAGACTTTTTTTTAAAGAAATAGGTGGCTCTTCATATTGGACTCTTGCTTGACATGAACTATTTGGCAAGTCAGAGATCAGTGTGTGGGGTGTAAACTTATAGCTATGTAATGAACTTCAGAGATTTTCCAGGGATAGAGACATCCTACTAGAAACTTCAAAGCCCTTTATTGAGAAAACAGATGACCTTATCTGAACATGCAAAAATATGTGTCTTATACAAACACTGATACTCATTTGTACATGGACATCCACACTCTCCCCATGGTGTATTTGCTTTTTATTTGTACATGTATGTGAGTCTTATTAATGTTGATAGCCCTCTGCACATCCTTCCAGAAAATAATGTGAGAACGGTCTGTATTCAAACATGTTAAGAGCTGAATGTTTAAAATCTGTTTGGCACACTAAGTTTGGTTTCATGAAGACCCAGATGTGGAAGAGAAAGATCAAAAGGAAAAAAAAAAAAACACAGGAGAGATAATCACATCTGGATGGGGCCTGGTAATGCACTAATTAAATGTACTTACACCTAAGTCTTATCACATGCTCCAGAGTGAGAGCTTACATGCCCCCTTGAAACTACAGCCTTGTAGGCAGGCACCAGAGCCGTGTGTGAAAGCTGTCATCTCCGCTCTGCACCAGCACTGTTCTGTATGAACCTATAATCCACCCTGCTTCCTTTTGAGGAAGAGGCTTTTGCTATTTTGCTATTCTGATAATCATGATGCGTGAAGTTGTCCCTTGATTTTATGATGATATGCATGATCTTCAAAATGGGTGTGAAAAAGAATTAGTTCAAGAGGCTGCAAGATTCTGTTTTGTTTCTGGCTTACAGGTACAGTAAGAAACCCTCCATACTTTTCTCGCCATCCAGGTAGCATCATTTGACGTCCTGAGCACAACAGGAGCTCCCCCTGGGTACAAACCCCAAGGCAGTCTTTTCAGATGTCACCAAGTCAAGCAATTTTAACTTTGGAAAGTTTTATAAAGTCTGCATTAATTGCTGAGAGTCCTATTAAATCAGCATGACTTGAAATGATTTCAAAATGCTGGGATTTAGGACAAGAGACAGCGTGAAAGGAAGTCACTGTTTTCTAGGGTTTTCTTCTTTGTGGAGTTTTTAAACACTATGATGCAATCTCTTATTAGTTTGCTTTTAAAAATTACTAAAGTAAACCCTAGCTACTTAGGAAAATCTGTTCAGCAGTGTACAGATATGTTCTACATGTCTCATTACCATTAACAGCCATGCATGGCTAAGCCTCCCCCTACTGCACTGAATATTTACCCTCTGGCTTTGTCAAGTGATGCCCAAGAGTGGATTTTACAAAGGAATTTCTTAACTATTTTGTATATCATGTACCACACCTATCTCGGAATGTGCACAATATTTCTTGGGTGATTGACAGCCATTAATGATAACTGGTGTTCATTCCAGAAAAAAATAAATCCAAAGTGCTTATATATAAAATCTGTCAGGGGAGAATAGGCCTACCTCTTGTCTTATCTCAATGACAAGCTACTTTTCCTTTTGTTATTCTAGTCCCTGCCTTTTATTATTATTTAATAATCAAATGCAAGACATTTTGCCTTCTTTCACTCTTTAGAAAGGTTATAGAATTAATACACAAAGATGAAAGTTAGACACCCACTATAATCCATAAGATCTACGAATTGAAAGAATTAATATGCCCCCTGGATCTTGGGATCCATCGGGGAAAATGCATAAGTTATTTCTTTCTGAGCTTCTCTAATGTTACATGATTTAGAGACCGGTGAGGCACTGCAGATGGGAAATGTTGGAAGGGTGCTTCATAAAGGAGAGGGGTCTAGGAAAAAAGGGGACCAGCGGACTCTAGTCCCTAAGGAGATAGGTCTCCTGGGTACCTTTCCAGGAAGAATGATTTCAATGTGCCTCCCCCTGAGCAAAAGGCTGGGACCCTTTAGGCTTCAGTGACTCCCATCGGTGTTGGGAAATACATTTACATCTGGTATTTTAAATAGCCCCGATTTCTCTCTTTCTTTTTAAACTAGCTGCACTGCTCATCCTGGATGTCAAGGTTTTCTTTTACTCGCTAAGTCTTCCCTGTGTAATCTAATGCTTCATTTCTCCCTAGGAAAATAAGATATTTGCATCAAATTCAACCTTTCAATAATAGCAAAGTCCTTCTTTGTAAAAGATACAGGATTAGTCCCTCCCATGAGGTCATCCACACCATCTCCCTTTATTTCTCCTGGGTGATGAGGAGACCTTTACATCTCACCAAAATGCACTAGTAAATAAGGAGTTAAAATGAAGGCAGGCTCACTGGTTTGCTGAGATCTGTCAGAGTCTGACTGGCTGGCTACATATCTGTCTCTGGAACAATAGGTACCTGTATTCTGCACGGACGGCTGGGCAGCGCTAGCACTCTGGAGAAGGTCTGCCTCTGTCTGCACTTTCCTGGTGAGAATCCCCAGTGACAGTCCCACTTTTCAGTGGAGGAGAAAAAGCCTATCTGACCACTCTCCTGATGAAGGACAGAGCTTTGATCATTTCTGTTCAAGCTTGACTTGGCCGGAGGTTTTAGCTTCCCAGCCTCAAGTCAGCACTCTCTCTCTCTCTCTCTCTCTGTTTCTTAGTCTGTCTTTCTCTTGCTCTCTCTGTCTCTCTCTCTCTCTCACATACACACACACACACACACACACACACACACACATCCTCCCTCTTGCTCCGGGCTTATTTTCTTTCTCTCTCCCTCCCTTTCTCATTTCCCCCTCCCAGGTTCTGTGCAGGCAGATGAGTGTCACAGCTGTAAGTGAGGCACAGAGCAATAAACATAGCGAGCCAATTTCCAGGACGGCAAGAGGGGGCACTGGAGGTGACAACAATGACAAGCCCGTGCTGCTGACAAGTTTTAGGTAAGGAAATATATAAGCCTCGACGCTTGTATTTCTGCATGCTTGTGGCTGAAACATTGTGCTGGCAGGCGAATCTCTTGGTAGGGAAATATTCCGCGAGGGCACCGTGCGCGCTGTCACTTGCCTACTTGCCCGTAAACCTGTGTTCTCGGGGCTTTGTGTTACTGGAATTATCATCGGAGGTGAGGTGTGAGCCGGGCTGGCGGAAGGGTGAGCTGCTTTTTATGTCTGTGTGGTGATATTTATCATGCTGTTGAAACGTATATCTGGAAAAAATTCTGTTTGATGATAGTTAGTGATGTTTTGTGCAATGTGAAGCATATGGCCGGGCAGAATTCAAGCGATGCTCTTTCATTCTTAATTTGTAATTATTTTTACATTCAACTGTACTGAGGTCAGAGGGTTTTAAAAATTAATGAGATTCCCTGTGGAGTTCCAACAGTAATATCTACGTGAGCTGCCACAGAAAGATAAGATTAAGCTGGCACAGTTATACCATAGATTTTGCAGCCTTAATTTGAACGTACTCCTTTTGAAACATTGGGTATGTACAATAGTTCATTGGTATCGATGTGATTTAAGAGGTGAGTCCTTAATTTTTTTTAATGACCAGGAGACGTTCAGTCCAAATTAGACTGCCCAGGATGAACACTTTGTGTGGAAAGATTACTAAAACTTCATAGATATCATTGTTAGGACAATGGAGAATATCCTGTACTTTCGAGGAAATGACAGTACGCCACATGCTAAAACAATCTGGAAATGCATTTTCATTTTAAAAGGTATTAAAAAAAAATCTCAGCATGTATTTTGGGTGAAAAATCGCTCTCACGAACAAAGAAGCAAGGGGACACATAGATGAGAGTTCTTTGTCATAAAAATGAGTCCGGGGCATGCATTTAGGAGGTTAAGTAATTTTTACATCCTCAATGCCCCACAAAGGGAGTCTAGTAGGATAAGTTCCAGGCACTTAAAAATGTACTGAAAACTTTCATTTCCCACAATTTAAAGACATTGTTTATGTTCCTGATACTACACATTGTTTAAATGAGGGGGACTGGAAAGCAGTCTGAATATACAGTAATCGGGGCTAAAGATGTTTTTTATGTGGCTTCCCCATTTACAAGCCCCATTCCGAGCTTCCTGTGATATATTGTTATGTAAATACTAGGCAGCCCGGGAAAGCAGTACTATGGAGATTCAATTTACTTTGAAAGTTGTTCATTATAGCAGGGATGAATGTTATTTATTTGATGCGATTCAAAGGCTGGAAATGACTTTTTCATTGTGGCACCTTTTGTCATGGGTGCAGGGTGATCTAATCTTTTTAATTTTGGCTTTCACACCAGTGGAGATGAAAAGAGATCTGAACTCATTTATCGGTTGCTAGGTCCTTCTGGAGGCCCAAGTTCTGTTCCTGGTTGCTATGGCCAGTCTGACCTCAATCTCTGTGGTTTTGGGGACTTAAGCTGTTTTTTTTTTTTTTTTTTTTAAATTGAGAATCATGTACCTTGATTTATGTCCAAAATCGTGGCTAAAAGTCTTTGTCTGCGAGTGGTAAATGGTGCCGACCAATTCATCAGTTCTTACAAGTAAACACTGCTGTCCCGCTAAAAATATGTTTTGTTCTGAGTTAATGATATGGAACAAGGCATTCTCCACAAGCAGCTATCTTCCATTGTGGAGGGCCCCTGAAACTTGGAGCAAAGTGGGGGAAATTGGCTTTCATTTTCTTGTCCTTTAACATTTCATTTGGGATCGCCGCTGCGGCTCTAGGTGGACTGAGGGTGGTAGGGTAAGCCTTTCATTTCCTTACCTTCTCTCTAGCTGGGGCTGCCTTGGGAGCCGGCCCTCTCCCGATGCCTGCCCTGGACTGAAGGGAGTGAGAAGTCAGGAGTCAGGAGTGGTTTCTCTGAAGGTGTTGCCTCTGCCTCACCAAGCGCTAGGGCACCATCAGGTAGCTGTACTGGCGCTCGGCTGCAGGCGACCCTTGTCATCTCTGGGCCTGGCTGGATGGTGGAAGGAAAGTTGTGTCCAATACTGGCGACCCCCGGGAATGCTCTGTGTGCCTGCTACTTCATGATCCCCGGACCTCCTCCCATGCTAGACCCCTGTTAGTGAGGAGCTGCGGTGATTAAGGGCTATGGAAGACACAGCCCGGCTCAGCAGATGAGCCCTAATACATTTCCTGTCCCCTTAAAAACTGCTAATTGATGGATGATGCAGGGAACATACACTCTGCTAATAAGATGATGATGAGAAAATAGGTATCAGGAAAGGCATTTATTGCTTATAAGCACCAACTGCGGCTTTTTAAGTAATATGCTAATGGTTTTTATTCTAAATCGGTCAGCACTGAGTATCTTCAGAACACTGGGAGCCGTAAGAAGTGACACCCTCTTCGAATGGAAAGGTAAAAATTCAACATTTTTGAAGGGGCAGTCTTCAGACGGTTTCATGTACGCCTCGCCAGTACCATTAGAAAACTGCTTCCTAAATGTGACTATTAAAATGTGAATTATTTTAATATAAAAGGTATAAGGAGAACCACTGAGAGAATTTTATTGTTAAGTCTTTTGCGAAAGCTTTGCTACCTTTTGTTAACAAAATGCGATCAGGTACTTCACGTGTTTCTTTCTCAGCCTTGGAAATACACAGCTTCTTTTTATTTCTTTAGAGAAAATGATCATTTGGGAAGTTAATAAAAACAATCTTTATTTTATGTAGATTTGATTCCCAGAACCAGAAAATTACAAGCCAGGGTTGGGTGATGTCAAAGGTCACTTTCATCTTAAAAATTCTTCATAAAGTGCGAATGTTCGGGAAGAATGCCTAACGATGCCTTTATTATTATAATTTCACTTATTTGGTTGATGCCTAGCTTTCTTTAGTTAAGCAACAGTCCAAAGTTCTATATTCCTGTGTGCAAGTAATAATTGTGGCTGGAATTAATTTTCAGATAATTCATTATTTAAAGTTTTTTTCTTAGACTGATACATTAGGGCTTTGTTAACTGAGGTTTTGCGCAGTTCAACTTGTGGCTTCTTTGCTAGGCATTCTTCCTTCAGGTCTTCTTGAAGGTAATATTTGCTGAGGGTAAATTTCATAAGAAATATTTAATTCTAGGTATCTGAAGACAGATACTCCCTGGTATGTATCTATGTGTGTATATGAACATATTTTCATATAAAATGTCTTCTAAATTTCATGTCTTGTTTTGTTCAGCTATTATTTCAAAGGACTTAAGCGAATATGGGATAGCGTTCCATTTCCCGAAATGATTAAATTCACTCTGAAGAATCTGGGGAAAAGGCCTATAATGACATTTTGATGACTTTCATTTTAAGGTGTAATAGAAATTGAGTAAAATATTTTAATAGCTATTCTCTTAATATCTCATTCCAAAAACAATGTTTTTATTGCTCATTCTAGCTTACCATTTTCTAGGGCTAATAATGGTGCCTGGTAATTGTTTCTTATATGGAAGTCATTTTCTCCTTATGTAAAAGTTATTTCAGAAAAGTCTTCAGGCATTTATCTCAGCTCGAACAACTGCATTTAATTCTTGAGATCAGACAGTATTTCCAGGTTGCTTCTTCTCTAATTTGGTATAGTATTTCCTGAGGATAATTAGTTGTTTCTTAAAGAAAGGAGCACCTGATATGCTGAGCTATAGTTTAAAAAGGAAAACCAAGATGATATGCAAGTAAGAAAAGCTGAGGGAATGGAAGGAATAAATACCAAGCACTATCACAAAGTGATTTTACTTTGCTTTCCACGTGTAGCATGTTTTTTAAAATTTAAAATTGGACTAAGTAGTAAAAAAAAACCCTGCATGTAAATGTACAGTTGTTGTATCTATTTGTATTGAATACGTAAGTACAGGCAGATACACTTGCTATGATTGTACCTAATATTACCAGAACCGTCACTGCACCTCAGTTCTTTCGGGAGCTGTACACACAAGTAAAGCTAATCACAGCTTTTAAAGAATAAAATCTTTTGGGAACTGGAGTTGTGACATATTAGATCAATTTTCACGTAAGTCAAAATGAAATTCTTACATCAGTTTTCTATACAAGTTACACAAAGCCAATAGTTTCCAAAGTGCATTGTTCAAAATACTAATTAAAAAACTATTTTATACAATTTCAAATAATTAAAGTATTTAAGGTGAGAATACAATATCAGTGAATTAGCATGCCATTACTGCAATCCTGTATAAAAATAAAATTAAGCTCACGTGTCTGATTATTTTCTTCTGATATTTGAAAATATCCTGAAGTTTGCTTTATTTTTGTAATGAATATACCTTTCCAAATATTGCCATAGAGCGATTACTGATAATTTATTTCTGCCTATTATAATTTTGGTTTTTGTCTTTTTGGCATGCCATAATTTTTTTCTGTAGCCTAGAAAATTGTACTGACGTTAAAGCTACCTATCTGGCCTGCTTGTCTGAGTTTGGGAGGGAACCTCAAAACTTATTTTATTAGAAATTTTGTGTGAAGCATTGAGATACTGAATATTATTTGAGAGGTTATTAGTAGGTGGATTTTCCCAGTAATAGCAAGTTCCTTGTGTAATTTAATAAAGCCTTTTTTCAGTGATCTTAGCTTATTTTCCACAACTTCGTCCAGGGCATTTATTGTAGAGTTAACTTGCAGGGGCAGGGCCTTCTGAGATAGCTAGTGAAGATATCACCCCAGTAGCTGTTCCAACATGTTGCAAAGGGTACATGATCATATTTTATCTAGAGGTTTCATATTTAATCATCTTTGCAATCCAACAGCAAATTTTAATTTGTATTGCCATCATTTGGGTAGCTTTTGTATAAGTGATACCAGAATAGTTGAAGAAATAAGAGTTGTGTTAAAAATCTGACGCCTTTGCGTCACTCACTAATAATTATTCAGACTTTTGCCTGTATGTGAAAATTGATTTATTTAATGATGCTTATGATCTCTTTTTGTACAGATGGCCTGTGTATACTTGTAATA